TTTGTCCTTCCTCCTTCGTTCTGTTTAGGCCCTCAAGAGATTGTAAGACACCTGCCATCACTGGGGAGGATGGATCTTTCATTCTTCCTTTCTTCCCTCCCTCCTTCCCTCCTTCCCTCCTTCCCTCCTTCCTTCCTTCCTCAGTCTCACTCTGTCACCAGGCTGGAGTTCAGTGGCGCGATCTCAGCTCACTGCTGCCTCTGCCTCCTGGGTTCAAGAGTTTGCTAGCTCTCTGCATAAACCTCCTTTTCCTCCCATTAACTCTTGTCTCTTAGGTTTGGTTTTGGATCAACAAGCAGCCAAACCTGAGTTTGTTCACACTTGCAATAGATCCCAAGGCCTCCAGGTCCTGGATGGTGGAATTTCCCTGTGACGGCAGTAAAAAGTAGGCACGTAAGCTCAAACTCAGCAATGGCCAAGAAGTCTGTTTGTACATGTGTTCTCATCCTGCCCCCAAATAAAGGAAGGACATAGTGGGGCCGGGGAGGGCAATGGCAGTCAGCATCCCTCTGTGGGAACATAGTATGCTCATGTTCAGCTCTGTTCTAGGATGCATCTTGGCAAAATGGCAAAGACTTCAACACCTGTACATCAACACACTGCCTTTGGTTTTCTCTCTCTCCCTTTCTCTCCTCGGAATATGTATTGCCAATGTCTTAGGGAAGGCAAATTGTACTTCTTTCCGGAATTAGAGCACTAGGTTAACCTACTAACTAACCTGATCCCAATCTTTTCCCCCATGGTATCCAGAGAGGTGTTTTCCAAATGCACGTTTGATCCTTTACCCACGTTCTACCCCAAGGTTGCGCTCTCGGAGCAGCCCACGCTGCCACTCTCTTACCTTGTTCTCTAACTCTAGCCCATCATTTTCTTTTGGTTTATGCAGTGTATACCGTCTCACCTTCCACAGGATCTTTGCAAATTTTGCTTCCTCTGCTGGAACATGATCTACCCCTAGCTTCCTCTGTTCTTTTCACCAAATTAACACACACTCTCTGTTAGTTCATATCCTGACCATCCTTCTTGGCCCCTCAGAAGTTTGGTTCAAGCAACTCTGTTTAATGCTGTTATGGGACTGAGTTACTGTTTCTCAGACCATGGATAGGAGGCTGTAATGGTACAGTCAGTGTATTTTTTACTTCATGTTCTTTCTCACTAGACTTTAAGACCATGAAAAGGGACACTGCTGATTTTGGGGTACTGAAGCTGCCTTTGCAAAATTATAACTGAGGAAATTATGACAGTGAAAGAAATCAGAGCTCACTGACTCTCAATCTTGCTTCTAAACCTTAAGCTGTCCTTGTTCGTTCCTGGGCATAGGCTGAACTAACTTCGGGAAGGAATTCAGTTCATGGTTTGACTATGAGACAAAATTGATAACAGCCCTTCCCAAAAAGAACCCCTTCTTTCCTGTGGTCCAGCCTGCCTCTGCACGACTAACAAATTAGCTACAAGATTAGAAATTATGATTTAGGGGTCATGCAGCCTCTGGCTCCAAGAGTCAGAACCTCCCCACTTTGCTCCTGGGGGTAACATCACTATCATAAAACCCAGATCAGTGCTTGAGATATGTTGCAGATCCTGCACCCGATGGATCAGCTGACACCACCCAGACCAGTCATCTGGCCCATCCAGTTCTGCCATCGCACCCAGGAACACCAAAACTAACCTCAACCCCTGCCATTCCATCCCCAAACTGACCAGTCAGTGCTCTTCACTTCCCAAGCCTCAAGCCACCAAGTTATCTTTGAAAATTCTGGTTCAGTAATGCTCAGGGAGACCGATTTGAGTCATGATAAAACTCCGGTCTCCTGCACGCGCGCACGGCCTGAATTACTCTTCTCTATTGCCCCATGAGCTCAAGAACAAAATGCAGTGCCTGGCACAGAGTAAAAGCTCAAAAAACAGGTATTGGCAAAGAACGGTATCCCAGCACATTAGGTAAGAATAAGGTTGTCGGTTCTTTTTGTACTTTAAAGTTCTGTCCACAATCACAGCTTTTTGTTTGTTTCTTACTTGCTCTGTACAGATCAATTCACCAGATTATTAATTTTCCTTCTGAAATTCCCAGTATATTAAGCTCTGAAGGACCAAAAACAAAGATTCTATGTTTACCATTCCTTCATTCTAAATAACTGTGCCCTAATTTTCATGCTTCAATAACATAGCTTTGTTTGTCTTTCTTAACCTATCTCCAAACTCTGGCTACGGGAATTCACACGTGATTCCCCTATTACCCTGTCAGCCTCCTTTTTGTAGTAAATGAGATATTAAATTATTTTGATTGTTAATCTAGGTTACATGAACTAAATAATATAACATGTTATCTATGGTCTTATATGTGATATTCTTAATAACATTTTAATTTTTGTGGTTCATTTAAAGATTATATATTATAGGAAAGAATAAGCCATATATTATTATATTTTATAATTATCATTGCATTGCTACATAAATTTTCATGTCTAAATTGTCAAAATTTTTAAAGAAGAAATAAAAGACCCATGCATCTCTTGTGCCCAAACCCGCCGATGTATAGAAGGGGACTCTCTGAGGTGCAGATTGAAGGTGTTTCTAGCAGAGGGGAAGAAGAGCAATCATTGTATTGCTGCCTTTCTTTTCTCACTAAAATAGGATTGTTCCCTCTGGTGCAATTTCTAGTGCTTCTTTGTTTCTGGTCCAGTTTTACAAGACTTAAGCAGTAAAGCTAGTATAACTTCCCTAGAGAGATAATTTCCTGCAGTTTAATAGATTTTTTTATTAGAATGCTTTTCCCTGTTGATCAGCCACTATATATATATATATATATATATATATATATATATTCATTACTTAATTTCCTTCCATTACATATGGTCATTATGTAAGAAGAAAATGTTCAAAGTTCTAATTCATAATGTTTATGATAAAAAGTAATACATTATCATTAGCAGGAGCAATATTATTATTATTTGGAAATACCCTAAATAAATGCTATGGGCTTGGCTTTACGTGAATACTCTGTATTAATACTATTTTTCATCTTCTTACATAGAAAGTGGTGGGAGAAATTTAATAATTTTGATTCAAAAGGTAATTGAATTGCCTCATTGAGTTATGGAGATTAAGTTGAATACTTCAAAAAGAATGAAATGTTACCAAATACTAACATGTAAATAACACATGCTAAAGAATAATCAAATTAATTAGAACTAGTTCATAATTTTATTCTGCCCATCCAGTCAGTATTCTTTTGAAATTTGTTAACTGACTCCTCTGAGCAGAACAGAATTATAATTATGGATTTATGACACAATGGCGAATCACAATCACAAGCATGAGCACAACTAACAAGCTTTTCATTCACTGCACTACATTTAAATATCAATCCAATAGAACTTTGCCTGAAACACAAATAAGCATCCCCTTGTTCGGCAGAACATAAAGTTGATTCTATCCAATGATTCTGATCAGTGAGAGAGGGTAGCAAAGGGCTGAAACATGTTAGATGGCAGGAATGCTACTGATTTATGATCAATGTAGGTACTTTTTTTTTGAGACGGTGTCTCGCTCTGTTGCCCAGGCTGGAGTGCAGTGTCACGATCTTGGCTCACTTTAACCTCCATCTCCTGAGTTTAAGTGATTCTCCTGCCTCAGCTTCATGTGTAGCTGTGATTACAGGCACTCCCCACCTCGCCTGGCTAATTTTTATATTTTTGGTAGAGATGGGGGTTTCACCATGTTGGACAGGCTGATCTTGAACTCCTGATCTCAAGTAATCCACTTGCCTCGGCCTCCCAAAATGCTGGGATTAGAGGCATAAGCCAGCGTGCCCAACATAAATACTTTTAATAATGGACTAATTCACCTTTACACATACTTTAGACACACCAAAATGAGATAAAAGTATAGTAAGAACACAAAATTGGAATATGCTCTCAGATAAGACATGATTGTTTACAGTTGTACAACTGAGGTAAACAATATAATTTAACTGCCTTTTGAAAATACCTAAATATGCAAAATTGTTATATTCTCTTAACATAAATTGCATTTTATTTCTGTTATGTTTCAGTGTTTTAGTATACAATTTTAAAAACTATATCAGTTATTTTTTTAGGGTACATAATATCAATAATTATAATTGCAAAGGTTTTATTCATGACTAGAAAACAGGTTCTGACAATTCCTTAATCATCTTTGTAAACCTGTGCCACATACTCAGTAAGAAATTATCCTTTGAACTGTTTTATCATAGGGCTGTGCTCCAAATTTTAATTACTTTGATGAAAACTGTTCTTTAATTTTCAGCTGGATGGTGATTATCATCAGGAGGTCCTATAGATGATATAATAGAAATCTGAATCTAAGATTGCAGAAAATTCTAAGAAAAGCATCCCAAAAGGATAAGTCGTCCTTGTTTGGAGTAGCTAGTTGAAGTTAAAAATTTTGACCTCTCATCAACAATGGCTGAACAATTTTGAAATAGTATAGATAAGGAAAAATTGTCAAGATACTAAAATTTGGGCTAACGACAGCATTCTAAACATACTTTACAAAGGTCTTTGGGAAATAAACATTCCATAGTAAAACACCATGACGAACTCTTTAAGTTTGGAATTTACTAACTCAGTGAAGAATGTACAGAGAAAACATAAGAAACATTTTCTCCAATTCCTTCAGTTTCAGTTGTAAGCTCTTCAAGGATAGATTATCAACTAGATTTTGCAACACCCTAGACATTAAAATATGATCTGAAAAATCACTAAGTAAACGAAAAAACAAGTTGTTGAGAATCCCTGTCTTCACACATTCTACTTTTTATGGGACTTAACGTTATCATAAACAATTTATTACTTATAATACCTCATCTGTATGTCATAAAATTAAATCATATATGTTTTCTCAAATGCTGTCACAGCATTGCATTGTTTGATTCTTATTATGTTTTTTCTGGGGTCAGCATTTTTACAATTTGAACAGTTTATCAGCCAACATATATTTATTGAACACATCTTTACCTGGTTATGTGCTAGGTCCTGGACATTCATTGACAAAGCAGATGTAGTCTCTGACTTCATGGAGTTTATGGTCTAGTTGGTAAAATAATGCAATAAATAATCAAGTTAATTTGAAGCATGTAAAATGATACAAGAAAAAAAGAGAAGGGCATAGTATTGCTATAATTGAAGAAAATAAAGCTTATCACAATTGCTTTATTTCCCCAAAGAAATATATCCAGAAAGTGTTGACTCAGAGCTCAAACTTCAAAATACAATCTTAGTATCCTATATTCCACATAATACTTAGAATCTCTGAGCATCATCTCCCAGTAATATGCCCTCATTCCAGAGAGAACATCAACAATTAAGGGGGATTATGGAAATATTATTTAGCCACTTCCACCAGTCTCTCCATATAGCTGACACCACAACTGTAATCCATGGTTATTTTTTAAACTATATGTGGCTCATATATCATTTTTCTCTTTGGAAAAGAGTATCAACGCTAGCCTTTGGACATATCCTGGTATACTTGAAAATGTTTGTAGAAAGAAAACAATTTTCCTGGGCCATAAACACTTCAGCTTTATAAAAATAGGAGCTACACATTTTCTGTCCACTGTTGTTGCTCCCGTTTCTTTGAAAAGTACGTTGTAAATTGTGGACATATCAATTCTGACACTTGAATGAAAGAATCAAGTATAAGAAAAGAAAAAAAAAAACAACAGAAGATAAAGAATCACATGCTAAATGAAGGAGAAAGTTGAAAAAGGTTTGAAGAGAATTCTTATGCAATGATCTGGTAATCCATTAGTGTAATGCTTGTATATGTTAATGTTGTTAAGGAGAAGTGTTTTTGGTGTTTTCTTCACTCCATATAAAAATAAACTGACATTACTAGTATACTCTGACAGTTACTGCATATTTACGTGTTATGGGTAAACAGCAAAGTCCAGTATTGAGTTTGACCCGTCCCTGAGAAGCAGCATTTTCTGATAAGCAGGGAGATTTTTCCCCTACTTATGTCATGGAGGGAAAGACAAGAAGAAAGAGAGGAAGAAAGGAAGCACAGAAGCTGGGATACTTGCATAATGGGAGACAGTCTTTCAGGTTATTTTCTGTTAGGATTTTAAAATTATTGTTATTTCTACTTACAACCTAGTAAGTTCTATCATTTATCACAATAGCTATAGGTTGCCCCAAGCTATTTTCAAGAACTGAAAAAGAACTTTATACTGATAATTCATGAGAATAGCAGATTATACTTTACTTAGAAGAGAGTGATAAGATTGGGAGAAGTAAAATATCATGTAGATTTTTTTGAAATATAATCATATCTTGTTTAAAGGAACACATTTGTCAATGAAAATTAAGTCTGATGATCTTTAGAATAAATCTTAAGCCTCGTAAAGTAGTATTTCTCTTCAAGGCAGGGCTTCATAAAGCTTACATAACGACTTCTTTTCATGAGAATATATGCTTAAAACTAAAATTACTTCTGAAAAATGCAGAATTTTAACAATGGTTGCTCATAGGTCTTGTCCTCCCCTTTGAGTGCAGGTGAAAAACCTGTATATTGTGAAATATTTCTTCTATTACTATATTACACTCTGTGTCAAAAAAGAGATTATCTGGGTAGTCACAGTCTCTTCACAGGAGCACATGAAAAGCAAAAAAATGTTCTTTAGTTAGTGGCAGGAAGAGACATTAGAGAGATTTTAAGCACCAGAAGAATTTCAGAGGCCCTCGTTGTCTTGAATTTGGTGGGGGTCTGTTCCAGGGTGAGCACGTATAGACAAACCTGCTCCCAAAGGCCAAAGGATCTGAGATGTCAAAGAGAGAGGCTGAGACATCAAGTTTCTCAGGAGAAAAAAGATAATGGGAAATTACAGGCAGAAGCCATGTCTCAGGTGGGCGTGAGACGGTGGATCCCAGCACCCACCCTCCAGAAGATGTCCTATAGCAAGTTTTTGGGGTGAAACATAGGCAGTGAGACGGCGGATCCCAGCACCCACCCTCCAGAAGATGTCCTATAGCAAGTTTTTGGGGTAAAACATAGGCAGCTCGCTATGTCTCAGATGTTCTTACAAATCCTGACCAGTGGAGAGGTTAAATAAAAATCTTTATGCGGGGTTATCCACACTAAAAGCAGTATTTCTCTGTAAGGGGTTATCTATGCTCTAGAAACACCTTGGCATACAGGAGTCAAACAGGGGTTAGTAGAGCAGTTTGGCTTCAAGTTGGCGTCACTCTTGCCGTACAACTGGCTGTTTTTCTACAAGGCTTCATTCAAGGATCAGAGATCAGCCACTGAGTTAATTCCCAGCTAAAAGCCATAGGAAAAAAAAAATGGAGTATACACACACAGAGAAACTCATACATACATACATACTCATACGATCATGGAGTTTTCCAAAATAATTAAGCTCTAAATTTGAATCATATAAATAGAGGGCTTCTCCAGAAATCTACCTTTATTTGGTATTATTTCTATGAGTAAATATGCTATAATACATTGTCTTAAAAAAAAAAAACTTTTAGACCGAGGCATTATTTCTTAAATTTAATCTTTCCTGTTTTTTAAAAGGTAATTTATTTCCAGACTACAATCAATAGAAGCACACCGATGCCTTTTATTAGTCTTTCAGGTTAACATCATCAAGAATAACATTTTATTCCCACTAATCCGACGCTTAACTGACCTCTCAATACTTTCAATCAAATGGTGGTAATATCAGAAAACTAGCGCTCAGAAAAACAACAGAAATACCTACTTAGATTTGGATCACATCTTACAAATTCTGAAAAACTTCATACTCAATCTATTTTGCAATTAAAAGAAATATAATTAAACTAGCAAAGCACTTTGCATATGATATTTTATTATCAAAATAATCTTATGTAATATGTTCTTAGTACCTTCATTTTGCAGAAGAAAATTGAAACTGAAGAGCATTGAAAGCTTATATAAATGATCTTTATGAGTGAAGCACTAGCATACTGAAGAGGAGAAATGGGATTATGGCACAAAATTAAAACTTACTTTGAAGTATCTTACAGTGGGAAAACTCCTAGGTTTCAGGCAAGGTGGTTCAGCCGTAATTCTTCGCCTGCTATATCCTCCAAGCCCTGAAATATTAAACATTGTCTTCCTTTATATATTGCTTTAAAAAAAAACCAAATCTGTGGTTGTGTCTTTAATACTTTTTACTACTTATAAAAAATTTACTGAGTCTACTACTTCACAATCAGTTGCAGTGACAATCTAGATAATAGATTCAATTATATTTTTCACTGATACATGTTAATATTTTATGTGATATATGTAATTATGATTTGTTATTTTGATATAAATCTGGTGATAATATGTATAATATGTGCTCAAATATTGTTTAGTCATTGCATTATAAAAATAATTGCTAACTTTACACAAGTATTATTCAAAGGTAAGAAACGATTACTCTCTTCAATGCTCCTGTGACACTGCCCGCTAAAGGTTAATACTAGAGTGAGAGACGTTGTGCTGTAGAAGATGAAACTTAAGACTGTAAAATAGTATTCAGGGCTCTGAAGTTCAATAAAGCTGTGGTCATATCAGCAAAGTGGAAACAATACTACCTCCCCCAAATTGGTAGTTATAAGGATTGTAAAAGTTTGTCCCAGTAGAATGATTGGCACATTCTGAGAGTATAATTAATATTAGTTTTTGCTTTCATGATTATTGGTGGTGGTGGTGGTTTTTATCAATTACATGTACATGTATCTTGCTATTACTTTTAGTATATAGTTTAATGCGAAAAAAATCTAAAACTTCAGACACAACATGTGACAAAATACAAGGTACTTTTATCAGAATTAAATTGTGTAAGCCAAACCAAAGTGCATATGTTAACAGGCACACACAGAAATTCTTTATAGGGGTTAGCCTTCCAGCACTTGTGGGGACTGGATAAGCAGTCTCCATAATGCTGTTGTCTTGAGTCTTATGCTGCAGCTTGGCATCCAGTGGGCAGGCAGTTGTTAAGAGTACATGAATGTAAAATCAGAACAAAGACAACCTGGAACCTACAAGTACGAGTTAGGACCTGCAGGGATAGATTGAAACCTGTCAGTTCTCACTGTCTCTGATCTTGAAACCTGTGAATTTGAAAACAAAACAGAAAGGCTGGCACCTTTCATGGGTGGCAAAAGGCACACCTTGTGCAGGAGTCAGGAAGGCTGAAGGGGAACTCAGGAGAATATGGATTACAGAGCAGTCACAGCCTTGATCAATGCCCCTTGCCAAAATGAGGTAACCCAGCAGATTAGCTACAAGTTGTGAGCTGCAAAATGGTTGCTGTGTAACTTCCCCCTTTAAAATCTCACAGAAGTGTTCTGTAGTGCACTGCGCTTAGAATCGTATGTGGAAGGGGATTCAATGAAATGTAGTCCAACCCAGTCAAACTGCCGTATTACACAGCCACCACACCAGCAAAGACTAAAGTAAAAAAGATAAGATCTTCCTTAGATTGTTAAAAAAAAAATAAGTTTCCTTTTCCAAAAGTCAAAAGTGACATTTTGCCTTATACAAAGGGGATAGAGCAGTCAGAGATCAATTATTTCCGTATGTCACCAAACCTAGCTCATGTCTGTTTGCTTTATATCCAAGAGAAGTGAGATAAAAGGGAGAAAGCAAAAGACAGTAATATTCCAGAGTATGATTTTCAATTCTTTATAATTTCATATTTTTCTGCTATTAACATAATTCTATTATCAAGTTCATGAATAAGCAACACTTTGACAAAGTTTTTCATGAATACCAACTATTCTATTGAATATACATAATTATAATTAAAATATTAAAATTTGGCTTACAATCAGATAACTGAGCCAATAATTATGCTTTATTTTTAACCCAGATTTGTTTTTGTATTCTCAGTATTATTCTTTTATTATCACAAAATCTAAAGATGTATCACATATGGAATACTTTTTTTTTAATACTGGAAATAAACTTATTCTTGAGACTAAGCAATTTAAAAAATGTCCTCTCCCTTTTCTTCTAATTTCAAATAGATTCCAATTTAATCTTACTCAACAGATTGGCAGAAAGCATTAAGCAGACACATTCTTAAGAATATTCAGCCCAAGTCATGTTTTTTTAATGTGATAATTACAACTGGGTATATCAATAGAATGGTTAGCTTGAGGCTTTAGCAAATAAACGGACTCATATTCTGCTCTCTTAGTAATAACATTGTTATTTGATTCCCTTTTTTTCAATGGCTTCACTAATAACATGTTATATTATTTGTCTTATAATGTGTTTTATCTTCGAGACTAAATTTGCTATTAGAAAACATTTCCCCATTAAAATATATTATTTCCAAAAAAGGGCCAAAGCTTAAAGTGAAACAGAGATTCTGTTTCATGCTCCTAAGAAGTATTGAACATAAAATTACCTTGCTTTAAAAGTGTACTGAAGTTGGCTATTAGTAGTGAGAATGAAACCTCTGGATACATCTCAGTAAAGATGAGAGAGAGAACAGGGCAAAACGATGAAGCAAAAGTCTAAAAGTAGAGTAAAATTAGTAAAATCACTAATCTGCTACTTAAAAACGCAAGTGTTAATTTCATCGGGATAACTTATGGGAGAATGGTTTGGGCAGTGGACCCCTAGAATAAATTGCTCCATTCTTTTATAAATTAACAAAATAGTGAAACTTGATTGCTTCTTTTTTCTCTCTCTCTTCGAGCTCCGGTAATAATTAAAGCTAACTGTTACAAAAGGGACAACAGTAGTCAGTGGCTTGACGAACTTTAAAATATACGGGCAGAGCTGCTTAGTGGTATGAATTTTATTTCTATTACTTAACCATCTTTCTTGGTATAATTCTGAAATTAAGAAATTTACTTAATTGCACATTTGTAGCCCATGATGATATTGCTTTAAATGTATGATTTAGTCCAGGGCAAACTAATTTTCTGCAGTAAAATCCATTTCTTATATGAAAAAATCGACTAAATTTTATCCATCATAATTGATATGAAAACTTGCTTTGTGAGCAATAAAGATTTTCTTAGCTTCCTTTATGAGGTATAAGGATGACTTTTACATTTTTACTATTAAGATGCATTAAAATTTTTCTGATAACCTTGTTATACTTCAGTTTACATATTATAATGGTGCTTATAAAAAAGCAGCAACTTTTGATAAAGTCAGAATGATGTTTATATTGTTAAATCAAAGAAATAAATATGAGGCATTTCGTACTTGTTTCTTGGTAATTGCCTAGTTAATAACAAGGGAAGGAGAGCATGTCATCTTGGTTTCAGGAAAAACAGCAAGCTGGATAATTTTCAGAAGCAGAATTTTGAGTACAAAGAGCAGGTTGAGAGAGAATAAATATTGTATGGTATCTTTTTTGAAGCGTAAATGTATGCAAGACACCTTATATTGTTTAATTATGATAACAGTGTAGTGAACTGGAGTTATAAACATAAAATCAAAGTACAAGTCAAAGTGGTTGGAAAAAGTAGTTAGAGGATTCAACATTATTTAACAGTAAATCAGTTTTTACTATGTAATACTTTTTTTTAGATTTAAGAAATCTTTACAATAGTTTTTTTCTTGTTTCTTTTCTGTATTTTCTAAATAGACATCTGCAAGAGTTTGCCAACTGTATAATTAGAAATACACAATACCACTCTCACTTCTGTCATCAATCACAGATTCAAGAGGTCACAAAACTTCTTAGGCTTGATAATTCACCAGCAAAACTCACAGAACTCACTCAAAGCTGTTGTATTAAAATTGGCAAAGGCAAAAACATATAGGGCAGAACCCAGGAAAAATGCCAATGCCGTGCTTTCACTGTTCTTTCCCTGAAGAATCGTGACTGTGTCACTTTCAAGCAGCAATGACAACACTCATGGAATTGGGCCAACCAGGAAAGCTCACGTGAGTTTGCACATGCAGGATACTTATTAGGGCTCCACCTCACAGGCCCAGCTGACTGACCACCTGGCTGCTCTCAATTTCCAGAATTTCAGGGACTAAGAGGTACCACAAGGTCCAAGAATCCCACCCTAAATCACACTGCTGCCTCACTGGCTGTCCCAAGGTTCCCAGGCAAAGACACGTCCACAGGGACTTAGATATTACCTCCCAGAAGACTAGGACAAAGGTTAGAACTTTCCTTGGCCAAGGTTCAATTCTTTACTATACCCCTCAAGAAAACAGCACAAAAGTTATAAATTATCTGGGAGGTTCATTGTGGGTGAGTTTAACTTTCTGTAATGTTTTGATGTTTACAGTTAACATATATTGTTTCTGCGGTAGAGAAAAAAGACTCTTTCCAACAGAAAGAGGGAACCTTCCATAATTCTGACATTGACCATCGGTTGTCACCCTGGGAAAAACGCTAGTCTAAGCATTTTGGCCTTGGCTTTCACACCAGTGTAAACACTCAAACACTTTACTAATCAATGAATTATTTAAATGAAATACTTCCAGAATTAACTCTTTTAAGCGACACTTTTAATTTCAGTACTGGCTTTATATAAATAGAGGTAGCTACTTGAGCACGGGGAAACTTAACTTTGATTTGGGAAGCTATGCATAGCTATTAATTTTTAATTTTTCATCAATTTTATTTCTCCAAAATTTAAATCAGATACTTCTAGAGGGAAGGGGCTATATTTTACCTGCTTGTTCCCCTCTTTTGTTTATTTATTTTTCTGCCCTCAACCCCACTACCCGTTGTGTATGAGAGCATGTGGGTGTGTGTGTCTAATTCAAGTACATTAGTTGTTACGGTATGAAAAGTTATGTCTCAAGGGCTGATCTGTTGCTTCACTCTTGGCAAAGTCTGATCTTAGAGAATGAATTCATTGGCCTTCCGCACCAAGAAGATAATAGAAAAAATATTAGAAAAAATGAAAATAATGTGTAATGACTGATAGACCAGAATCATTTAGTTTGGAATTTGAGAAATTATGTAAACTGGTAGTTTCTTGGAATCAAGTAAATTCATAAAAGCTAAATATTTGTAGACCAAAGAAAAATTAGATATATTTTGAAGAAATATTCTACTTCTGTTGTTGTTGCTGTTTTGTTTTGACTGAATCATGTCAAACATTATTAGATTTGTCATATCATAACAAAAAAAATAGTATATTGTCATCCTCAATTTGACATTGTTATTTGATTCTTATAGGGTAACTTTGTATGTGAATAAAAGGAGAGTAATCG